CTCACACATACACCCTAACATTGAATGATTGAATAAAAGAATGAATAAATAAAAGTTAAAGAAAGTGCTGGATTCAGTGTAGTCATGACTCAGCCACGCTTAACCAAGCAAGAAGATGAACTGTCAGGAGCTTCTCCTTGGTTTTGAGCTGATCAGCTAAGCTACTGAAAGGTTCCTTCATGAGCAAATCTGAGGCTGCATTAAATATGTGAAAAATAATTTTAAAAGAATGATTTGGTGTATGATAATATGGTGAAAAGGCCTTGTGGCATACACTGAGAATGGCTTTATTTCCAGGCAGCTGGAAATTTTAGAAATAATCCAGTCTCTTCCACACCAATTCTGCATTACAGGTATGCCAAGGCTGAAAGCTGAAAGTGAAGCTGGAATTCCTCTTGCTCTAACTGCGCAGAAGCTGTGTTTGAAGCCAAAGTCCACCCAAATTATCAATCATCACAACCACCTACACTGCAGGACCAATAATTAATTATTTTGGTTCCTAAATGACTGTGATGCAGGAATTCAGACTCCCCATAGGCAGAAAATGGGAAATCTGCTTTTAAGGAAGGTATTTAGTGTCTTCAAGTTTCTGTCCTATCATAGAAGCGTCTTGTTGGGATGGCTGCACAGTACACAGGAGGGTGAAGATGTTTGCTCTCTGCTATTTATTGTATACTGTATCTGCATCGTGTATACCATCATCAAGGGCCATCACCAAGTACATTATTTTAAGCCATTAGGTCAAGATTGAGTTAGTTTGAGCTCTGTCTGTATGTATAGATTGAATGTCCTGCAGCTACCCTGCAGCAGTTCATTAGAACCATCATAAATTTTATTCAGATGAATTTAGTGCTAAAGGCATGAGTAAACAGCAAGAAAGGAAAAATTAACTTTGAAAAGTATTTGGGAAAAGTATTGGGTACTTGGGAAACATGGAAAATGTTCTTACATATTGAGCATGTAATTATACTCCTTGTGATCAATGACTATGTCTGTGTATGGGATTTATTCTTTATTTTCACCACTTAATGAAAATTGGATTTTTTTCCCTCCATATCCCAATTCCTTTCAGGACTATAATGTAGCCCAGGATTCCATTCTGTAATCATGAATTTTTGAAGGAGCCTCGTTAAGGCTCCAGAGTAGTGATTTTCTGCACCACTGAGCCTGCCTTTTTTTATTAACAGAGATTGATTTTCTCCATCTTGGCATGAGAAGTTCCAGGGTGTATCCTCTGGATGATCACCCTGTAATGTGCAGTGATATCAACAGCACAAGATGGGAATGCTTCAACTTTAACATTATCAGAAATTACAGCTTTTAGATCACCAGTGTGAGAAGATTGAAGAAACCTATGTTTCCTGAAGCCATGGAATGCTGTTCGCTATGGCAATGGAAACATACAATTATCTTGAAGCAATTTATTTTGGATCAGATATATCAGTTTCCACAGATACATTCCAATTCCACAATATTGTCCATTTTGCTTAAATTTACTTATTTTGAGGAATCCTACTGATGTCAGTGGGAGCAACTCATAATATATGTACAGGCTTCATGGGACTGTAATTAGGAAGACTGTTTGACTGTGTCATTGTGACACTATACCACAGTCACTAGTTGCAGCAAAAGACATGTTTTCCAAAAAACTGTGTGGACATTTGAGGACAGATGTATCAGCTCAGTATGGAGCATCATTTGGCTATGCATCTTCCAGGTGAGTTCTCACAAAGACATCACAGGTAGTCCAAAGCCCTCAGGAAGTGCTGTAAGGCTGAACTAACTGCTGCCAGAACAAACTACCTACTGCCAAACAGGAATTTGTGGAAAACCGTAACTCCCCTTGAGTTCACTTCAAGGCATGTGTTCTGGCCATATGACCATGGAAGGAAGACAACTAGATCAAAAATTTCATGGAGAAGAGACACAAAATTCAAACAACTTAATGGCAGGACTGATGGGAAGGCACAATTTTCCTGGAAAGTGATCCCAAACAACTCCATAGCATGGAAATGCCTGGGCTAGTGCAATAAGCAAGAGTTTATCAAGTGAAACAGAAACTGTCAGTGGTGTATAAATTTACTTAGGACAAAGCTTCCAGAA